AAAAAATCGGACGATCTGGGAAAAAGATCGCGTCCCCGGCTCGCTTAATCGAATTCACCCCTGGCGGTGAATCGCGGCACGTAGCGATTACCAGAGGAATCTTGTACCGTGGGGTTGTTTTTTGCCCGGTGTCGGTCGGCCAACTGAATTTCTCAACCCTTTCGCCGCGCCAGGCACATGTCTTGACGAAAAAACGTGGGAAGGCATCTGTCGAGCCGTCCGTGACTCGCTCTTTTCTCTTCCCCTCCCCTCTTCTCCGCCTCCTTCTTCTCGCGCTTCTTTTCGCCGCGTTGAAAAACCGATCGCCCCCTTTTTATCCCTCCTCAATTAGACCAGCCACGGTTGCGTAACCGGTCGTAAACTAACCAATCTCCTCTCTCTCTCCCTCTCTCTCTTCTTTTCTCCTTCTACCAACAGAGATGATTCCGTTTAAAAGAGGGAAACGGTAAACGTCCGCGACCGATTAACCGCGATCGAATCGTTCTCAAAAGCCGAGCCGGATTATCGATGGATGGGAGGAGGGGGAGGATCGCGTGCGGGTTCGACGATTAATCGATTCGCTTCGCGAAACGAGGGAAGGAAAGGGAAGAAAATCGAGAGCCACTTCTCTCTATTCTCCCTTCCTTTTTTCTTTCTTTTTTTTTTTTTTTTTTTTTTTCTTTTTTTATCGTATCAAGGATCGGAGAAACTTTCGTATCGTTTCGTTTGGAACGGAATCTCAGGTGCGTTCGAGGTGGTGCGCGATAATCCGAGTTATCCCGGGCGATAAATATCGTTCTTTCAACGCCGACGAGAGATCCTTTTTAATCGAAAGCTAATCCTTCCCCTCTCCCTCTCCGTTCCGATAAATCTCGAAAGAGAGAGAGAAATCTCCCTTCTCTTCCTCCGAAACTCGCCCCCGTCCCGCGAGATCACGCGAGCGTTTCAATAAACGCGAGATAACGCGAGATATTCGGCGGTATGGTTGGTAGATAGGAGGATAGAAGAGGGAGAAGGGGAGGGAGAAGGAGTTAAAAGTAACGCGTCTTCGTAGCTCGCGAGGTGTAAAAAAAGAAAAAGAAAAAACTGAGAAAAAGGAGGAGGAGGAAAGAAGAAGAAGAAGAAGAAGAAGAAGAAGAAGATGATGATGAGGACGCGAACGCGAAACACGAACGCGAGGAGGGAATCTGCTCGCGAGAGAAGTAATTAAAAGCCGCCAGCGCGACAGAAACAGAGCTCCGTCCAGAGAGCTTCGGTGAAAATAAAACGAAACGAAACAAATGGAGAGAGAGAAAGAGAGAGAGAGAGAGAGAAAGAAAGAGAGAGAAAGCTCGAGCCCATCTTGCGCGGCTAATCGAATTTTCGCCGGGGCAGATTTCTTGAAATTGTTTTCGCTATTCCGACCTATCTAGCCCAACTCCCTCCCCTCCCCTTTCCTCCACTACCCCCTGGATAGCTAATGGATCGTTGTTTAAAACGAGAAGAAGAGCAAGAAGAGGGGAAAAAAAGAGGCGAGGAGACGGAGTGAAAGAGAGAGAGAGGAGAGGAAAAGCAGAGAAGGAGAAGAGGAAGAAGAAGAAGGAGGAGGAGGAGGAGGAGCAAGAGAAAGGGGAAATGAAAGAGTTAGACTCTGGGTCGAGGCCTGGCGTGTCGGCGAAACATTATCCCGGCCAAGAAAGACAATACACTCCGAGTACAATATTATAATAGGCCGGAGCGTAAATGTATTATAGAGAACGATCGGTAGCCAGCCGTAGAAACTTACGATTTCCTCCCTCTACACGCTTCCTTCGTACACGCGTCTTATGAACTGTGTTATCCCTTCTTCTTTGTTCCTCCGAGCCGGGAATCGAAGGGAGAAGAACGGGCCTGTTCCATCTGTTTCTCTCTTCCAATTCGTTCTCAACTTTGCATACGTTCGAAAACTGTTCCATAGAGAGAGAGAGAGAGAGGGAGGGAGGGAGAGAGAGAAAGAGAGAGAGAGAGAGGGAAGAAGAGAAGCGCGTTCGATCGCGGGGAATCGATTTCGCCGAACATCCATCGAACACCATCGATTAAGTAAGAACCTAAGAACCTCGTTTCGTCGTTCGTCAACGTAAAGGGAGGGGGAGGGGGAAAGGAAACACCGCGCGTTTTCTTCGCTCCCGTTTCTTCCCGCGTCGCACACACGTGTTTTACCCTTTCCCCCACCACTTTTGCGCGGCACACAGCGAGCCTTCGTATTTGTATCCGTAGTTTAGCGGCACAAGGGTTGAATGTCGTGCAACACGATACAACCCTTTCTGCTGGCGGACTTTCTCGTGCCTCCGACCTTCTTCCGACTCACCTCCGGGCTCTCTTCCCATCGAGTCTTCCCTTCACCCCTCTTCTTAATTGCCCAAGCGTCGAGCTCGGTAAAAACTCGTTAGCCATTAGATTTATTTTTCCTCGCCACGGGGATTCATTCCCGTGTTTTATATATATATATATAGAAAAAAAAAGAAAAAAGAAGAAGACGTACGCGTACCGTTTGAGCTACCGTTTCTTTTTCAACTTGCTTTCTGTTATTATTTTTTTTCTCTTCTTCCTCTTCTTCCTCTTCTTCTTCTTCTTCTTCTATTTTTGTTCTCCTCCCTTTTTTACAATTCTCTCTCTTTCTCCTCGAACACGGAGAAATCGATCGCGATTGTTCGAAATTTCGCTTCGTTCGGGAATTTCGTGTGTTGCAACGCGCGAAAGAAGCACCGTCGAATTAAACGGACGAAACGCTTGTTAAATAAAATACACTTTTGTTTTGTATTTTGAGGAAAGGGGACGTTGGAGTTGTGGGCATTTCTGAAAAATGCGACACAATCTTAAACGATATTTAATTGTTCTCGAATTAATGCAAATTGATCTTCATTTCATGCTGGTCTCCTCTTTGTCGCAGTGTTCCAAGTACCCGTGGCAACGATTAAAGGTAAAAAGATCGGGTGAAAAGATGCGGGAGAGCCCGTGGGAATTCGTTTCGGGTGTGATTCCGATATGCTTGCTAAATTAAAAAAAAAAAAAAAAAAAAAAAAAAAAAANAAAAAAAAAACAAAAAAAAACAAAAAAAAAATAAAATTTCACTTGCCTCATCTGTCCACGACAAATCTCTTGATAATTCCACAACAGAAAATTCGAAACCACGTGTCTGGTATCTAACATTCGTCCTTTGCATCCTCCGTGACAATTGGCGCTACGCTTAAAAAGAAAAACACGCTCGATTCACGATATATATATACGTATATATATATATATCTATATCTACGACGATCCCATGTTTCTCGATCTTATCGCTCCTTATCGGGAAAAACGTTTGCGTTATTCGTAACCCTTCGATACCTTGCCACGATCCGACAGACGAGTCGTCCTTCGATCGACGCCCGGAGAAGAACGTCCGTAATTTTTCTTTTCCTTTTTTTATCTCCTTTTTCCCATCCAAAACCTCCTCCAATCTTTACTTCTCGTCGAATCGTTTCACACCCTCGTTAACATCCCTCCCCCTCTCTCCCTCAACGACATCGTTGCCTGGCGAATCTCCACAACGGATATATATATTTCTCGTTCTTCGTCCTTCTTTCTTACTCACTTCTTTCGTCGAAATAGAAGGAAACTGGGACACCGACTTCTCGCGGCGGGAAAAAAAAAAGATCGGATCGAAAATTTTCTTTCTCGTCTTTTTTTTTCTTTTTTTTTTTCCTCTCTTCTTCTTTCCGCGCCATCTCCAAACTATCCAACTATTGCTTATTCCAATCCTTGTTCTCGCCCGTTCCAACCATTTTTTTCTCCCCCTCGATATTAATTTTTTGCACAGTCTCCGCCTCTGCGAGCCCCCCTTTTTTTCTCTATCTCTCTCTCTCTCTCTTTCTCTCTGTTTTTCACTATCGTACACACACACACACACACAGTTCATCGACGACCGAAGGACCTAATGAAATCATTCCCGCGCCGATTCCAATCGGGGTGGGATTTCTCCCCCATTGTTGCACACCCCTGTGCGTTTTTTCCGCTCTCTCTCTCTCTCTCTCTCTCTCTCCCACTCCCTGTTCCCAGTGACCAAAAGCGTGAGAGGGTCCGCGTCCAAACTGCTATTGGCACAACACTGGAAGGAGGGAAGGGAAGGGGGAGGGGGAGCTGCATCCTCAACCCTTTAGTTACTTTTTTCCCCTCCCTCCTTTCCCCGCTCCTCGGGGGTGATTGGACACGCATAACCCGCGGATTACCAGCGCGTGATACGCCAAAAAACGCGTCGGCTTGGAATAATATAGCAGTGCTGCATAATGGATGGAAGAGAAGAAGGAAAGGGAAGAGAAGAGAAGAGAAGAGAAGAGAAGAGAAGAAAGAAAGAAAAAAAAGGGAAGAGAAGAAAGGAAGGGAAATTAAACAGGTTCTAACAAGGGAATGAAAATCACCACTACGGATTAATAATTTCATAATGCGCCCATTCAATATTCACGGTGCAATTTTTTTCTCGCGACCGTGCGGTGCTCGTGTCGACCGAACCGTAGCTGATCCAACTATAATAATATATCGGAATATATATATATATATACATGTTCTTGCACCGATCGAACGAAAATGAATCATCGTTCGAATACTATTACTACTACTACTATTACTACTATTACTACCACTACTGTCACTACTGTTACTTTCCCTCTACGACAATCGTGTTATTCGAAATGATGAGAAGAAGAAGAAGAAGCGGGGAAAAGAAAGAGAGAGAGAGAGAGAGAGAGAGAGAGAGAGAGAGAGAGAGAGAGATTCTTAAGAGAGAAAAGATTTTTTATATATAAATTAATCATCGAATTTTATTATTCGCAATTGCGAATAATACGATCAACGAAATAAATATAACTCTCTTTCCAAGTACGAAAAAGCAGCGGCGGAGTACAGCGAGAGAGCGAGACAACCGGTCAACGAATATATCTTTTACAGACTTTGTTTGTTGGTGTAACCGAGTATCGTACGAAGGTTGTCTGCCGGCGAGGCTCGCGGCCTCGTTGCGGCTAAAAAAGCCAAGGAAAGGAGACGGCTGGAAAAAAAAGAGAGGGAGGGAGAGAGAGAGAGAGAGAGAGAGAGAGAGAGAGAGAGAAATGACGCGAAAAGAATTGCGCGCCGCGAGAATGACCTTCGGATTTTATCGCTTTACTCCGAGAAAACGGTGGGAACCCCTCTTCGTTCCACCTCGATTTTTGCCAAAGTTTCATCACCACGCTCGCGTAAACAATCGGGATCAAAACATCCTCCGATCGAGGATCGAGGTTGGAAAGGACGATGAACGACGGAACGAGAACAACAATGACGCGACAAAAATCTTTCCACCTCCCTCCCTCCCTCTCTCTCTCTCTCTCTCTCTCTCTCTCTCTCTGACGTTTCCACGCCGATTTTCTTCCGACACCGATCAAAGATGGTCCCTTTTCTTTCCCTGGCAAAATGGCTCCACGCGAGGCCCAGCGTCACGCATCGCTACGCGTATGCTCACACCCACTTCCTTTTTACGCCACTCCCTGGCCCACACCACGGACTGGGCTTAAACGCTCGCAGGAGCGTTTCACCGGATAAATAAAACCGATGGTTCGACCAGAGGAGGAATCGCTGGATTCTTCGCCGACTAGCTGGTTGGATGAGAAAGAAAGAAAGAAAGAAAGAGAAAGAAAGAGAAAGAGAAAGAATCGTGGAGGAAAGAAACGAGAGAAGATCTCATCGAGAGAATGATGTCTTGGAAGTTGCAAGATCTAACGACGCGCAAGAGAAAGAAAGAAAGAGAGAGAGAGAGAGAGAGAGAAAGAGAGGTTATCGTTGGAAGGAGAGGAGGAGGGAGGAGATCGGGAAGCGTGGAATTGGGAATAGAGGTGTGCTAGGCTCGCGGGCCTAGGCTGCAACCACGTACCACGTACGTAGAGAGTCGAGCAGAGAGATGAATCTGGTCACGGCGAATCATAAAGTCCCTTGGGGATTCGCCCACGCTGCACCGCTCTCTGGGCGCGGGGCAAAGAGAGCGGAGAGAGAGAGAGAGAGAGAGAGAGAGAAATGGAGAGGGAGGGAGGGAAGAGGGAAGATCGAGGCGGGTAAATGGAAGGAAGACGAGGACGGCGCGCACGGAAAAGGAACGAAGAGAAAGAGAGCGGGCGCACGGCACACTCGAAGGAGAGTCGAGAGAGGTATTCGCGGTGCAAAAAGCGAGGATGCAGGCAAAAAAGGAAGAGCGCAACGAAGAAACCGGTTTTTTCCAGTTGGGCCAGGTCGGGGCGTCGAACTTACGGACCGCAGCCTCCCTCCGAGAATAACTTGCATGCAGCACCGGCACCCAGCATCGGCGACGCCGACGACGTCGACGGCCGGCATCTTCTTCTTCTTCTTCTTCTTCTTCTTCTTCTTCTTCTTCGTGGCTCGTGTGTCGTCGGCTCAACCGGCTCGGGCTTGTCCCAGGTCCGGGAAGAAAGAAGGACGCCCGGGCTTTGGCCCGTCGAAAACAACGAGCGGGAGGGGGCGTGCCTTGGAAAGAATATCGCCTATCGTCAAACCGGAGAGGAACGCGGCGACGAGGAGCGAACAACGACTACGTTGGCGAGCGTGGGTGTGTTCCCAAGAGGGGGGAGGAAAAAAAGAAAAAAAGAACGCGCGAGAGAGGCGCGGGCGCAGGAAGAGGAGGGCAAGGACCCTCTAAACTGGGAGGGGGGTTCATTGACGCTGCCGTGCGTCGTTTCCTCAACCTTCCTCAACCATTATTTTTCTCTTTCTCGTTCTTCTTTTTTCTTTTTTCCTCCCCTGCTCCCCCAACTTCTTCGTGGCTCGACATCCATCCATCTATCTCGACATCCATCGCGTGGATTGAGAAATCGAGTTTCCCGCGGATTATGGAGCGTGGAAAATTCGATATTTTTCTTCGTTCGTTCGTTCGTTCGTTCGTTCGTTCGTTCCTGTTTTTCGTGTTTTTCTCCTGTGAGGAGAAAGAGGAGAAAAGGAAAGGAGAATTAGAAATTGGAGATATTTGATCACGAGAAGAGAAGAATAAAAAACAAAGGAAAACGGAAAGAAAAAGAATAAACGAATAAATAAATCGGTAAAAAAAAGGGAGGGAGGAAGAAAAGGGAGGGAAAAGCGAAATATAAAAGGAATCGCGTAAACAAGGGAAACGAAATTAACCGTGATTAAGTAGGATTAAAAAGATATTCTGTGGAAAATTGTTCTTACGGAAAGGAAGAATCGAAGGGTGGGAGGGAGGGAGGGGGCGTAAACGGCGTAAAGAAAAAAAGGCTAGCCGAAACGGCTAGGTCAACGACGCCTCGACGTGTTATTTTAAACTGGTCTCCTGCCCGAGATTCGGCTCTCCTCCGTCCCGTTGATCGTCTCAACTCGGTCGCGGTTATCCCAGGTCCGGAGATGGAGAGGGAATGGAAAAAGAAAGAAAGAAAGAAAGAAAAAAAAAGAACACGGCGAACGCGTCGGTACGTCGGTTCGGTAAAGATAGGTAGAGAAAGGGGGAGAAAGGGGGAGAGAAAGAGCGAAAAAGAAAGAAGGACGACTCGCTGAGAGTGAGAAAGAAGGATGGAGGAGGAGGAGGGAGAGAAGGGAAGAGGAGGGGGGAAAAAAAAAGAAAGAAAAGAAAGGAAACGAAACGAAACGAAAAAAAAAAGGAGGAGGAGGATGCGTTGTATCAAAGTGGAGAGGATAGGAAGGGGGGAGGGAGGGAGAAGTAGTAGGCAGGAAGAAAGGAAAGGAGGCGAGTAAAGACCCGAAAAGTTTGGGGTCATTGCCGTCTGGTCTCGTTTTAGCCTTTCCTTCCTCCTCCTCCTCCTCCTCCTCCTCCTCCTCCTCCCACCTTCTCCTCCTTCTTTCCTTCCTCTTCGTATTCTTTTTCTCTCCGTTTTAACCACTCTTTCCGAGCAAGGTTGACCGCCATGTTTTTCCCTCAGCGCGTGCCCCTACCGCCTCGTGTGCGTATAACCGACCTTCGCGTGTGCGAGAGAGAAAAGAGAGAGAAATAAAGAAATACCAGAGATATGCGAATATATATATAAAAAAAAAAAAATAAAAAGAAAAGAAAAGAAAAGGAAAAAAAAAAACGAAAAAAAAAAGAACGATCGAAGATAAACGATAAATAAGACCGCGAAATAATCTCTTTACCTTTAACGCGAGGTCGCCAATGACGGAGAGACAGATACTTGCAATGAGGACGTCGAATTTCGTTCATCACTCTTCATATTATCTGTATTAAAGGATGGCCTTTGTCAGCTTTTCTCGGTTATCCGTAATAACCCTCCATCGCGCGTATCGTCATCTATCCATAGACAGATAAATAGATAGATAGATAGATATATAGAAAGAAAGAAAATCGCGTCGACGATTCTCGTCGTGAATCGGCGACGACGATTGAACCCGATAACGGCGACAAAGGCCATCCGTGTGCAATTGTGTCGTAGTAACTAGTAGTCGTTCGATCTGTGCTTTGCATTCCCGTTCATTCTGTGAGGTCGCGCGAGATCAATCGGAGAAGATGATCCATCCGATCATTCCATTTTTTTCTCTTATTTTAAATATTCGCCAAGGATTTCCGGTTCGATTCCGATCGTTCTCCGCACCTCACGCTTTTTTATATATATTTATATATATTTATATTTATATATATATATATATGTGTATATATGTATATATAATATAATATGTATATATATATATATATATATACACGTACATTCGTCTGTCTGGGCTTTGCTTTCTCCTTCTCCTGTCTTCCTCCCTTTCGCAAACGAAGAAAGAATCGACCACCACATATCCATACGAGCCTTTTTTTTTTCTTTTTTTTCTTTTTTTTTTTTTTCCACTCTTTTCCATCCATCGCATACACTACTCGCATACACGACGCCTATCGACGTACGATCCGACGTGGCGTCACGGCTTAAACGGCGATAACCATAAATCCTTGCAATTCCACCCTAAAAACTTTTCCTCCGTCCCGCCAGACACTCGAGGTGAATTCCCTTTTCGCTAGAGAGAGAGAGAAAAAAAAAAAAAAAGAATGGAAAAAAAGAAAAGAAAAGAAAAAAAAGAGGAAAAAAAAAAAAAAAGAAAAAAGAAAAAAAGTAGTCCGTGGTGGCGGCGGTGCAATCGGTACTCTAACTCTCACTGGTCAATCGTTCTGTTCTGTGCGCTGCCTGTCCTGCGCTTCTGGTTCGCGACTCTGTGGTGGTATTCTGTGGGTCGGCTGCTCTCTACCGGTGTGCCTGCTTCCGGTTCCTCTTGTTCCGGCCCCCCAAAAAAGGAGTTGCAACAGCGTGTTGTGTTCCAGCAACACGCCGCCCTGATCGGCGGCCCCAACGCGACCAGCTGTCCCGTCTGCCACAAACTCTTCCTCGGTGGCGAAGCTCTCATGGAGCACATGAAGCACACCCACAAGGATCCCAATGCATCCGGCGTTGCCAGTAAGTATCTACGATAGAAGTCGAGAGAAGCGCCCTCGATTTCGTCCATCTCACTCTTTCTTTCTCCTTGCTTTTTTTTTCTTTTTTTTTTTTTTTCCTTATTTCGTCGTATAATATAACAACGCGCAATATTTATATATATATATATATATATATATATAAATACACGTGCATCGAATTTGGGGAGATACTTTCTCTTCTCCATAATGTTTTATGTATGTAACGCATTTACTAACGCTACGTAATTTTTATCACACGTATCACATTACTTATATCTCTCTGTCTTGTACTTCTGGCTACTCTAACTAACTCTAACTCCGACGCACGAAAAAAAAAAAAAAAATTCAAACGCGATTTATCCCCAAACGCAATTATTATCCCTTCCGCGCTTTCATCCGTCATCTGGACGACGATGAGAGGACGGCCACGATGGAGAAGAAAAGAAATCGATCGATTCGCGTAAGGAATAATAAAATTGAAAGATAATTGAAGGAGATAAAGGAGAGGAGAGAAATAAAAGTAAATGAAATTATACAACAAAATATACGTTGTAATAATTTTAAAAAGTGCGACGGATCGACGTACTTTTTTTG